GGACAGTCAGTGTGGGACAGTCAGTGTTGGACAGTCAGTGTGGGACAGTCAGTGTTGGACAGTCAATTGTCAACAACATCACAACACACACACACTTTATTGGAACTCGTCTGTTGCGGTGTCAGTGAGTCAGCATTATTCATCCACGGAGCTCTAGCACCACCTACTGCTTTAAACTACAAACCTCGACGTGGTTTAAACACCTTCACTGCTTTATAATAAAGGTCTACAAGTTCCTGTGACGTCACCAGCAAATCTGTTGGGGGGGGGGGTCTTTGGTATTATAAACAAAAACACACCCCGGCAGAATGTGAGTGGTGTGACGACAGCAGCCAGAACGATGTTTAAAACAATATCAATAATTAAATTAATAAAACAGCAATAAACTAACTGCATATTTCCATCAATGAATCCTGAATGTATGAGTTTTTTACAAATATAAATAAAAAACATTTAACGGTAAATTGTGGTAGTGCGTTCAATAAAATAATAATAATAATAATAATGATAATAATGATAATAATAATAATAATGATAATAATGATGATGATGATGATGATGATGATGATGATGATGATGATGATGATGATGATGATGATGATGATGATGATGATGATGATGATGATGATGATGATGATGATGATGATGATGATGATGATGATGATGATGATGATGATGATGATGATGATGATGATGATGATGATGATGATGATGATGATGATGATGATGATGATGATGATGATGATACTAATGTATTATTATTTTTCGCCACTACCGTAAAGTTTGGATCAGTGGCGCACTGAAAATTCATCCCAGTGTCCAGGGAAACGCGGATCTGACTTGCTCGTATTTAATGAGGTACGGCAGTGCTGCGAAGCGCGGCGTCTGAGGCTTAATTAAACATGGCGGACTCTGAGGAATATAGAATTAAACGTTTAAAGGTAAGAAGAATCCACAGACGGTCTGTAGCTGCGGTGCTCAGCCACGACGGTTCAAAAGTAGCCGGTTAAAAACACGTCGGTGTCTTATCTTACCGCTGCTGCTGTGAGCACACATGAGCTAACGTTAGCTAGCTAGCCATCTTCAACCCTGGTAGCTTCTTGCTCTGCGGGGCTAAAGTGTACTGCTACCCCCAGCTCCCTTTATCAGCTTGTACGGTTAAAAATCAGATATGAAATTCCCGCGGTACAGTTTGTTACCGCTCTTTAAATTCGAGGACCGGGCTTTTGCCGCCGCTGTAGCTTAGTGCTAGCCGCTGTTCCAAAAAGAGCCGGACTCTCAGGACTGCTGCTGCTGCTGCGAACAATAAAAAGTGGAGCTTCTGTTCAAGTGGAATGTTATCAAAGCAGCCACAGGGTTCTGGTGTTGTCCTCACATCTCTAACCCTGTCTGTAGCGTCAGTATACCGTCTGTCTTTGTGTTGTAAACATAAATGAACCAAAAACCAGGTTTGTTTGTATGTTTGCTGGAGTTTAGCGGGGCCTTTTAGTGTCATGACCAAAACAGGTCAGAACCAGAAACAGCAGCTGCAGTTGTTGGTGTTTGACACCGAACACACGACAAACACACGTCACTGGGTTCATCTCACAGACTGGAGCCGATGGGTCGTCGATTCACGTGTGTGAATGTGATCAATAAAAACCACATGTTGTGATTGTGATCATTGTGTAGAATATGACAGTACAGGTGTGTGTGTGTATGTGTTCTTTGCTTTTTAACGGAGAACGACTCATGGAACATTCTAGATCTGATTATCACAACGTCAACAGAAGATGTTTTTTCTCTGTAAATGAATGTCGTCAGATTATTTGTTTTGATGATACATTCAGAGACGACTCCTTTTCACTTCTTCTGATTTGTTCCTCACCAAACGGTGTGTGTTTCCTGCAGCACGAGGAGCGTCTGTCCAGAGTGTTCGATGAAGTGATGGGACTCGGGGACTTCGCCGAGTCGTCCCGAGGCTCCGCCACTTCATCAAGGAGCGGAGGTCCTGAAGATCCAAAAGGAGCAGATGAGACGTCGGGACAAGGGGAGGAGCAACCGATGGAGGAGGAGGACAGTGATGGCAGTAAACAAGAGGAGAAGATGGAAGAGGGGACGGGGGAGTCGTCCTCCCCCCCCATCACCTCCTCCTCCTCGTTCGCCATCAGAACGAACGACGGAGGAGGAAGTGGCAGCGCCGCGTTTGATGATGCGCTGGATGGCCTTCCGGTGTCTGGGCCAGAGGAGGATGAAGACGAAGACTGGCATTTTGCCTTGCCCATGGGTTCCCTGGAAGATGTTGACGTGAAAAAGAAAAACAAGAATAAACCAAAAACTGAAAAAGATCAAACCTATTCCAGTCCCCCGGAGCCTCCGGTGAGGGAGGACGATGAAAGCACCGACTCGGCCAACACCTCACACTCCTCCAGACACCGCAGTCCAGACAACAGTCGAGGTAGGACGTGAGGACAGGAGGAGGAGGAGGAGGAGGAGGAATGGTGTCAATAAACATGAAAAAGATGGTTCCATGGAGGTCAAGTCCAGTTGACCTCCATGGAACCATCTTTGGGTTTCTCCTGGAACCATTTCTCTGCCGTGGTGACTAGGGCTGTATGTTGGCATGAATCCGGCGAGACGATGCGTATCACGATATCAATATATTGCGATACTGTAGGCATGAAATATCGCACCCGTGGTGCAGCCCTGACGTGTTCCTAACCTAGTTCAGACGTTCATTTTCTCTTCAAAGGTGTCTTCTTGATGGTTGTTGTCTCTCTGCCCACAGGTGCTGGTGTCCCTAACCAGGACGAGGAGACAGAGGACAGTCAACAGGTAAAGACGTGTGCAGCTCGTACATACTGTATACTGCAGTAATATTCAGTCACTTTACTAAAGACCACCCTGATGGTTCCAGAAGTCAGACACGCCTCCAGACGACCCTCGTCTGTCTCCAAAAATAAAAGACGAGCCAGTGGACGAGGGCTACGACGCCGCCCTGCTGCCTCAGAGCAGCATCAAACAGGTCAAAGAGGAGCTGGAACATCAAGAGGTCAGAGCTGCTGACCCCTGACCCCTGACCCAGTGTCTGTTCATTAACCTAGTTAATAGTTAATCAAATGCTTGTTGAGGACAAATACCACAGTCACTGCTCAGTGCTCCACCCAGTGGTAGTTTAATGTCATCACCTTAAATCAGATCTTCACTTGTGTTTACACTAAAAGAGTCCCAACTGTGTGTGGGTGTGTGTGTGCGTGTGCGCGTGTATACGTGTGTGTGTGTGTTTCCAGGAGGAGCTGAGGATCAGTTCCGTGTACTCTGTAGGAGGAACCAACACCTTTGTGTCTCCGACCGGTGAGTTCAACACTCGGATCATTTACCTCCGCTACTACAGTGCAGTAGCAGCGTTTGGTCAGCGGGGGCACTGACACGGTTTTAGAGTCAGATTAGACTTTAGAGACAGGACCAACATGGGAGGAGACCAGGTGAAAATAATCACCACAATCATTCAGCTCCATAGCGCCACCTAATGTCCTCAGCAGATATACCGTTTGTCCACCACAGAGTTCCAGAATCTTCCATAAATGTACAGCTTATATTTGCGTCAGTAGGTCGAACTGATCCCTGAGCTTCTTCCTCCTCCTCCTCCAGCAGCAGCAGCAGCAGCAGCAGTGGTTCCAGCAGCAGCAGCAGCATCAGCAGCAGCAGCAGCATCAGTGCCTTCAGCCATCGCAGCACGCCACTCCACCGCCATCTTCATCCCAGGCAGAGGAGCTGTGCTTCAAGCTATGGCTCCCATTCACGTCCGACCACCGGCTCCCATCACCAGTTCTCTTCAGGCTCTCGTACCCGTGGCCTCACGTCCACCTGCGCCCCCTGTCCCTGGGAGTGTGCGCTGCAGTGGCTGCTCAAAGGTGCTAATAGTGATGTCATCGTCAACAGGACGTTTAAAGGAGCCGACGCCTCGTTCTGTTCTGTTCTAATGGAGGTGGTTTGATGTCCGTCTGATTCTCCCAGGTCCTGCTGAAAGCGAAAACCGCCTCCCCACGGAAAGT